TGATAGAAGAGATAACCCCCCCCCCCATGAGAGAATCATTTTGAAGGGAAAATAGACTCCAGGGCAATGCTCCCTCTAAGCTGTGGATTCTTGTGAGCAAAAATTTTACATTGTGAGCTTCCAGCATTGAAGTTGTGAGTGAGTGATTTGGCTACTGCATAAATTAGTGTGCTCTGGAGCCATCCTTCCTGAGCGAAGACAAAAATGTGTGAGCCAGAGGCTTTAAAAAGTAAGAACTATGAGCTAGCTCACACTAACTCACCTTAGAAGGAACACTGCTCCAGGGTTAAGCACATCCCTCCCCATGTCCCTTTTCTCTCCTCCTGATTGGGGCCTCACATTGGAGCCCAGCATTAGCCCCCAGTGGGAGTGCTTCCCTAAGACTGTTCCACCACCCTTCAGTTGCTGATGGCCCATGCCAGTCCCTTGCAATCACATTCAATCCCAGTGGCAGGCCAGACTGTTGGGAAAAAAATGCATTCTAGTGCTTTGGAAAGGGCTCTTCAATAGTCAGCTCATATACAGCAAGACCCATTTGCCCTGGCATGCAGGTTGGAATGGAACAAATTCACCCTCTTCTAGCAGATGGGCAAATAAATCCTAGGAGTTTCTAAAGGGATTTTTTTTTTCTATATTGAAAACAGGGACTAAAATGATCATGGTTGCAGAAACTGATTACTGAAATCTTGTAATGTCACCTTGGCACCTTGTGAGTGTTGGTGTCTTGAGAGCTAGCATGGTGTCATGGTTAAGAGTGGTGGACGCTAATCTGAAGAACCGGGTTTGATTCCCCACTCCTCCACTTGAAGCCTGCTAGATGACTTTGGGCCAGTCCCAGTCCTCTTAGAACTGTCTCTGCTCTACCTACCCTACAAGGTGCCTGTTGTAGGGAGAGGAAGGGAAGGTGATTGTAAGCCACTACAAGACTTCTTCAGGGAGAGAAAAGCTGGGTATAAAAACCTACTCATCTTCTCCTGAGTATGCTGCTCTGTGCCACAGTTGCTTCCCCGATACACAAGCACTTCTTGTGTCCCTCCGGCATGACTTGGTTTTGCTCGGTTTTTGCAGGACACCACAGTAATAACCAACCTCATTTCCGTACACCGTGATGAGTCTCAGTGGAAGCACCCTTATGAATTCAACCCCTCCAACTTCCTGAATGAGAAGGGAGAGTTTGTGAAGTCTGAAGCCTTTCTAGCATTCTCAGCAGGTAAGTTCCTTCTGTTACCACTTAAAAGATAGAAGTCCACCGCTGAGAAACTTAATAATCTGATCTCAACACTTGCTTCTTAGAGGGCTTCAACTCTATCTGACTTGTGTTGAGTTCTCTATGAAAATGGATCCTACCTCAGTAGCCATCAAGCAGAAGAAAACAAAAATCTGAACCTGTGCATAGGTCCCAAGCAGTGTCATGTTTAAGATTTATCAAATCGACTCGTTTACCATGAGTTCTAATGGCTACTTGCCTTAAAAGATAAAGGTTCCCTTGCTTGAAAGCCAGTCAAGTCTGACTCTAGGGTTGTGGTGCTCATCTCAGTTTCAAAACCGAAAAGCCAGCGCTGTCCGAAGACGTTTCCGTGGTCATGTGGCCGGCATGACTAAACACCAAGGCGCATGGAACGCTGTTACCTTCCCACCAAAGTGGTACCTATTTATCTACTTGCAATTTCTTGCTCTCGAACTGCTAGGTTGGCAGGAGCTGGAACTAGAGATGGGAGCACACTCCGTCTTGCGGCACCCAGGTCTCGAACTGCTGAACTACTGACCTCCCACAGCCTGCAGTTCAGCGTCTTAACCACTTGAGCCACCACAGCTCCTTACTTGCCCTACGTATGGCTTATAACCTTTAGGGGACAACAACCCTATAATTATCTTTTAACCATTCCTTGGCACAGTGACTATGATTCAATATCACAAGAAAATTTCATTGGTGTTCTAAAGTGAAGTCAAGGGCCGATTTCCCACAAGCCGCTACTCCGTGCTCAGTCTTCCCTTTGCTACCGATCATACGTGTCAATTTCATACTATGTACTGCGGTGCGGAATTTTGCCCCTCAGCTTCGCCCGATTTTCCCCGCGTCTACTCAATCCTCAAAAAACAGGATTGAGTAGACGCAGAGGAAATTGGGCGAAACTGCGGGGCAAAATGCCGCCGCACAGCACATAGTGTGAAATTGACACGTAGGATCGGGGCAAAGGGAAGAGCGAGTGCGGAGCAGTTCCCGCAAATAGTATCTAGACCAGGGGTCCCTAATCTCACTGAGCCTGGGGGAACATTTGGAATTTTGAAAACAGTGAATGGGTGCACTGCTACCGCATGGGCACTAGGAAATGTATCAGTAGCACAATGGTACCCATGCTTGCCATGTTGAGAATCACAGATCTAGAATGTAGAACAGGGGACCTTAATATGGTGCCCAAGGGCACCATGGCACCTGCCAGCACCTTTCCTGATGCCCACCAAGTGTTTAGAGAGTGGGAGGGGCCAGGTGTGGCTTTGGCCGTGGACTGGCTGTCCAGATTTTTTTCAGAAGTCGTCTTGGCAGCAGCTCCCACCACAGGACAAGGATCTTCACTGCACGACAGAACGCAAGCTCTGTGTAGGAAAGAAAATATTTTTAAATCATTATTTTGAAAGGCCTCCTGTTAAACAGAGCTTCTACCTGAAACATTGCGAAGTTATTATTAGAGTTCTATGTGACCTCCCTCGATGACATTTTGTGGTGGGCTCCACCTTTGGTGGCAAAACACTTTGCAGCTGGCTTTGCTTCCTGCAGGAGCCATATTTGTAGTTGTGCCCACCAGGCCAAGGGTGTCCACAGGCTGAAAAAGGTTGGGGACTCCTGGTGTAATTGGTCATATTAATACAGACGTTTATAAAGGAGTGTTCTTATTATCTGCTTGACTGCTCTAATTATAAATGCAAAAGAAGTTTTGATTGCTTTTGCCAAATTCATCCACGGAAAGTTTGGTAGCAAGTGGCTATTGTGCTTGCTTCTCCCCCCCCCTTCTAAAAAAGCTATCGGTAGTCTGTTATCCATGAAACTAATATAATCGGAAAAGGTTACTGGCACCATTACATGGATGTTGATACAACACCAGCTTTCATTACCACTGGTTTTCCTTTCTTTTCTTTGTTTTCAGGTCCCAGGGGCTGCCTAGGGGTGAGCCTGGCTCGTATGGAACTGTTCCTCTTTTTCACAGGCATCCTGAGAAAATTCCAGGTGATGTGGCCAGATGAATCAAAAGCCCCAGACCTGACACCCTGCTATGGGGTCACCCTGTCCCCAGCACCCTTTAAAGTGGCACTGAAATGTCGCTGGCTGTAATGTATCCAGTCTGACCGCGTGGCTGGGTTGGGCTCCACACGGTCAAGCGCTAACATCGAGCTTCGCTCCACATAACAAAGGACTAAGCAGATCCTAGCCCACCCCTATCCGAGGGCTAGTGTCCCAGCCAAGAGCCTATGGAACTCTCGGCCACTGTAAATAACCTATTGGGATGTGGGTGTGTGTGTTCTGGGTGGTGGTTTCACGGGGGATATAAGCCGGCCTGTGAGCCGGCTCAAGTTGTCTTGTTCTTCACTAATAAAGTACGCTTGCTGAAATCACTCGACTATCTGCGTACTTTTCACTGGCAAACATGAACATGGCTAAGCAGGATTTGGATCACGAGGGTGGAGAACATATCTGGGACTCTGTGTCTCTCTCTACCCCTCTGTATGTGTGTGTGTCTGCTCCTCTGTGTCTGTGTGTGTCTGCCCCTTTGTGTGTGTCTCTTTCTCTGCCCCTCTCTGTGTGTGTCTCTTTCTCTGCCCCCTTCTCTCTCTGTGTGTGTCTGTCTGCCCCTCTCTGTGTTTCTCTGCCCCTCTCTGTGTGTGTTTGTGTGTGTCTCTCTCTCTGCCCCTCTCTCTCTCTGTGGGTCTCTGCCCCTCTGTGTGTCTCTCTGCCCCTCTCTCTGTGTGCCTGTCTCTCTCTCTTTTGTACACACTTCTTCAGATACAGTGTATCTGAAGTGTGAATGCACATGAAAGCTTATACCTTGAATAAAGCTTTGTTGATCTTAAAGGCGCCACTGGACTCTAACTTTGTTCTGCTGCTTCAGACCAACATGACTGCCCACCTGAATCTAATGTCTATAGTTGATTTCTGCAGCCCAGGAGCTGCTTCTCCAACCCAATCAGAATTCGGGAGTGCAGGCTGAAAGTTTCCCTCCAAGTCTGCTCTTGACCGATTGCTTCAAAACTCTGGATAAGGGAGGTTAAGGCACTGAGGTGAGACACTGGAGATCATCCATCAGGGCTCCTATGACATCTTGGCCAAATGGTGAGTCTGGGATTCCGTTCCATTCTTCGCTCAGCTGACTGCCCTAAACCAATTTCTCTACTTTCTGGGAGGTAATTTAAGGATTTAATTGCACAGTTGAACCCGTGTCTATTCTAAGGGCATATTTTATCCTTTCATAATATAGCTGATCAAAAATATTTCTGCTGGAGAAATAAAGTGATGGGACTGGATAAACAAATCGGATCGATCAGCATGTTTGATTAGGAGGCCACCTTTGCCCAGAACACAGTGTAAACAAGAGACGTTTGGAGACATTATGCCAGCACCTGTAATCATTGCCTGGAATGATGCCCGCACCTCTGAACAAAACCTCTGACTGCCTGTAGTATTCATTCCCTTTCACCATGGACACTTTCAGCTGGCTACTGCTGATTTCCTTCATATTGCTCCTCTTCTGGCAGACCTCCCATCCCAAACAACTCCCCCCTGGACCGAGGCCTCTACCATTTGTTGGGAACTTGCTGCAGCTCAGTAGCAGCTATATCCTGAAGGACCTTAAAAGGGTAGGTACCTTTTCTACCATCTTCAGACCCATAAGAGTTCGCAGAGAAGGGAAGGGAGATGTTATGGTACTAATTCAACGAGACAGAGAATGCTATTAAAAGAAAGCCCCCTGGAAGGCATGCCTGCAGTCTATGCTTTCATGTGAAATTAAATAATTCTTTTCTAGCAGACCTAGAGAAAATTCCCTTAAATTAATTGCAAAGTTATCCTAAAGGATTACCTGCAGTTTGTCTGAGCAGCAGGAAGGAATTAGCTGGCCTCTCCCTCTGGCCCTTCCCAGTCTGCAGTGACCGTGTTCATAGGGCACCAAAAGGGACAGAGGGGCTAGCATTGCACTAGGGAGGAGAACAGAACAGTAAGCAAACGGTGCACACTTTGGCTTGTAATTAATCTTACTGAGAAGATCCTGTTTAGGGGGAACATCTGCTAACTGCTGGTTGAAAGATGCCCCAGTACTTACTTAGTATGGGGGCAGGAGGCTGTGGGGCTCTCTGTTTGACCAGTGCTGCTTCCTGCTTAGCTAGGGTGGAAGAGGCTTAACACTTCACATACCCAAGCTATAAAAGTTCAGGGCTAGGAGAGAAAATGGAAGTGAGGGGGGAAGAGGGAGAGGCCATCTCTAGCATTCTTGCTGGCATCAGTGCAGTCCTCCAGAGAAAGAAGGCCACTGTATTAAAGGGACACCCATCTGAGGATCCCAGCTGCCAGCAAAAGGACGTTCCCAGCTGAGGCAGAGTTGCACAGGGGACAGGCTTCAAACATGGGTGAAAGAGACAGAGGCTGTCATCACACACACTAAATAATCTGCTTTCAATGCACTTTCCAACTGGACTTTACTGTGTGCACTGGCAAAATCCAGTTGGAAAGTGGATTGAAAGTGGTTTGTTTCCTTTGTGTGATCACAGCCAGAGGCTGCATTTAAAGAGACAGCACACGTTCAGTGCACAATCTCTCCCTTATTATAATTGAATAGCAACGTTCTATATTGAACGTTCTAAATTTGGCCCCTTTAGTGTTTGGCCGGAAGAACTGCCACTCAGAAGACGCTGGCTGCTTTGTGCAGTCCCGCCCAGCGTTTCAAGGTCTTTTGCATGTGGAAGCTGATTGGACTTCATTCCACACCTCAAACTCCCC